AAAAAAAAAAAAAAAAAAGTAGAAGTAAGATCTAGAATTTAGCACAGGATACCAGGAAGTAGAGAAGAGGTTTGGGCTGCCTGGCTCTTGAGGACGGCAACAGTGCAGCTGCTGAGAGTGCTTTCTGCCCTCTGGTGGTGGCGGCACGAGAGCCACCAGCCCTGCCAAAGCCCTGGCAGGGCAGAGAGGGTCTCTGAGTATGATGGATGGAGGCACTTTCTGGAGGATTCTCAGGAGTATCATGGGCAGCGTGTTGGAATGTGCTGGAGGATTTATGCAGTAGACTTTAAAAAGAATGCTTTTTAGCATTTGCAAGGCTGACATTGAGAGTGACTTCTGGTAAACTCCTGCTTGTTGAGGGAAACTGAATTTAAAGAGAGCACAAGAGCTGTATGCTTTTTGCTTGGCAGGGCGCATACACCCAGATCCGAAGTTTTGGTGTTAGGATCTGTTTGCTCCAACAGACTTTGTTTTTAAAAGACTTTTCTCAGCCATGGCTGTCTGCTCTAGCACAATGCTGGAATGAATTCCTTGTGAAAGAGGTGGGCAGGTGTGAGGGAGGGTGTCAGCGAGTGGTAACCCACACCTAGGAGGATTAAAAGAAAACTTGCTTTTGGCATGCTTGCTTCTTACTCAGTTTTAAAATACATTTTAAGTGCTTTTCTTCTTCCCCGCCTGCCCCCACCCCCCAAATAGAAGAAGCATTTCTTTTTCTTTAATGTCATTAAGGTTATTGGATATGATTTTCTAGAGAGGGAAGAATGATGGTATTACCTAGTGTGATTCTAGCAGTTATCCTAACGCACACAAATTTCTCCTTGTTCTGTGTAAGATGCTGTATTTAATATTGAATAGATATTAAATATTATTTACTGGTGTATTTAATGGCTGGGGCAGGGCTAATTTTGTATACTGTGTTGCATGTTCTCATCCCAGCAGAGTCAGGGGAAATCCTAGTAACTATACCATGAGCTCTGTGAGGGTGAGGTGGTATCTTTGCCCCCGCCTCCCTGGCACAGTAACTGGCACATGGTTGGCATAGCGTGGGCATTCATCAAGTGAAGGAAGGCATCGTAAGCAGGTCTGTGGCCTGAATCCTGCTGTCAGCTGCTCTCCAGGTGGCCCTGGCACCAGGCCGCAGGGAAGCTCTCTAGGCTGGTGCGGTTCCTGTCTGTGGCTGCCTTCCTGGGCCCATGTCAGGAGACTTTCACTTCTGGAGCCCTTTCCCTCTCAGGGCCTTGCTTACCAGGTGACTGGTTCCCATTTCCTGTGAGCTCTTAGGTCATTGAAGATCTTGCGCACTCCCCTCCTGTGAGGGCTGCCTTTTCATCACAGCTGCTGGAAGCCTCAAGGAAGAAGCAGACCTGGAAACAGACCCCATGCTGTTGTTTCTGTTCCCCTGGGGCAGACCCAGCCAGGGGAAGAGACTCTGGGGCAAGGGCTGTGGTCCTCCTTTCACAAGTGTCTGCAGCAGCCTCTGAGCATGGACTCTTGCCTCCAAGCGTCCACCTGCTCATCAGAAAAATGGGAGTACCTGCCTGGATCAGTTGCTGGGAGACGCAGCGCCAGCGCACAGGACACACTTAGTTCATGGACCGATGTCGTCTGTGTTGACTGCCCCTTCAGCTGGGCGTTGAGCCACACCTTGGGGTCACCACTCTTTGGAGACCAAGTCTGTTACTTTTTCCTCTAAAGTGACAATCCTCTGAAACTTCCAGATCATCTTAAAGCCCCGTCTGAAAGTTGCCCAGAGCCAGTGCCTCACCTGCTGTTCCTTGTTCACTCTTTCACAGGAGGCCTTGCAGGGCTTTATGACAAGATTTTTGTGGGTGGCTGCACAGCATCATTGTGACTCGTGAGATGGCGAGAAACCAGTTGTAACCATATAGACAGTGGAAGTGACAGGGACATCAGTGAAAAGAGGTGGGGGGACTCTTCGATCCTAAGGGACGTGAAGTCTAAGCAGGTGCACCCTGAGGGTTCAGCCTCAAGCCCAGGGCCTGGCCCCAGGGCATGGTGTTTGTTGACTGCGTGCGTGGACCCTGGGAGAAAGTCTGAAAATTAATGTTCCTCTTAGAGGTCGATGACTGGAAGGTGACTCTAAGTGAACTTGGAACTAGTGATTTCTGTACAAATGATTCTCTGAGAACCATCATGAGAATTTTTCTCTTTCAGACTCAAGAAACTCGAGAGATCTTACATTTCCACTATACCACATGGCCTGACTTTGGAGTCCCCGAATCGCCAGCCTCATTCCTGAACTTTCTTTTCAAAGTCCGAGAGTCGGGGTCACTCAGCCCGGAGCACGGCCCCGTTGTGGTGCACTGCAGTGCAGGCATCGGCAGGTCTGGGACCTTCTGTCTGGCTGATACCTGCCTCTTGCTGGTAAGGAGGCCCTTGTGGGCGTCCCAGGGAATTCTTCCACCTGCTCTGCCTTGATGTTTTTTCCCAAGTAGAAACTGGAGCATTCCTCTTCTGAAATACAGAAAGTCTCTGTGTTAGTCCGTTTTTGCGTCACTTTAAAGGAGTACCTGAGACTCGGTAATTTATAAAGAAAAGAGGTTAACCAGCTCATGGTTCTGCAGGCTGTAGAAGCATGGCACCAGCTTCTGCTTGGCTTCTAGGGAGGCCTCAGGGAGCTTCCAGTCTTGGTGGAAGGTGAAGAGGAGCAGGAGTAAGAGATGGGGGAGGTCCCAGACTCTTTAACAACCAGATCTCTGCAAACACATTATGTCAGGGAGGGTACCAAGCCTTTCATGAGGGACCCACCCCCTGGCCCAGACAACTGCCACCCAGCCCCACCTCCAACACTGGGGATCCCATTTCAGCATGACGTTGGGAGGGGACAGACATCCTAACATGTTAGTCACATTGCCCGAGAGAATGGGACCTAGCTGACTTACGTCTCCTCTCTGGCTTTCAGATGGACAAAAGGAAAGACCCTTCTTCTGTTGATATCAAGAAAGTGCTATTAGAAATGAGGAAGTTTCGGATGGGGCTGATCCAGACAGCAGACCAGCTGCGCTTCTCCTACCTGGCTGTGATCGAAGGGGCCAAATTCATCATGGGAGACTCTTCCGTGCAGGTCAGCCTTGCTTTTCTTTGAATCCAGGTGTGACCGTTTTAACTTTTTCGTCCTTGAAGGAGGCTGTCAGTTTAACAGTTCAAACACCATCTGGTGTAGCTGCCCTTCATGTTTAAAATAGCTAGAGAGTTGTCAGAACGTTCACCATGTTCCACTTTGTGCATTTGAAGTGCTCACGTAGAGAGCATCGATAGGAGAAGAGATTTTATTTTCAAAAGATTTCATCTTCCCGATATATGGCTGCAGCCCGAGAAGCCGAGAGCCCCTCGCCAAGCCATCACCTCCGCTCACGTGATGGGATTTCCTGACAAAACAGCCAACGCCAACACTAATAGGACTTCCTCTTGCTGCTCTTTCAAGGATCAGTGGAAGGAGCTTTCCCATGAGGATGTGGAGCCCCCACCTGAGCATGTCCCCCCGCCTCCCCGGCCACCAAAACGAATCCTGGAGCCACACAATGGGAAATGCAGGGATTTCTTCCCAAACCACCAGTGGGTGAAGGATGAGACCGGGGAGGATAAAGTCTGCCCCGTCAAGGAAGAAACAGGAAGCCCCTTAAATGCCACACCCTACAGCATGGAAAGGTAATATGATTGGGTCCCAGCTTGCTGGGGTAAGGGGAAATGACCTTCTGTTCTAGAATCACATGCTGGTGCTGAGACCCTGTGAACGAGGCCTCCTGCTGGCAGGCAGCGCTTCCACCTCCCTGGGGAACGGGGGACTTCTGTGGGCTTCTAGTGCCACCTTGTGGTGCTTGTTGGAATGAGTGGCTTAGTGCCACTGAGTAGCATTTTTCTGCCCTCCCCCGCCCCCCGCCAGGCTTCCGGCCAGCCCTGAAATGTGATGTCCATGTACTTTCAGTCCCCACAGTAGTCCTTTGGGGAATGTAACCTTTTTTATGTGGTATTGATTAAATTCCCATTTTACTTCCTTGCAGTTTGACAACTATTATTGCGTACCTATTGATATGTGTGGAGCACTGAGTTAACTAGCACATGTCCACATGTCCCCATGTCCCCTGGTCTGTGTTCTAGACCATCTTTTTGGAAAAGAGGCAGACCCAAAGCCTATTTCGGTGGGGGTCCACAGACAGTGGTATGATAGACGTGTGTGCTGTGGTTGTCAGTGAAGGCTGCTTGCAGGAGGTGGCCGTGCACGGAAAGCTTGCAGAACAAGTAGGTGTTAGTTCCAGCTGAGAGATGTCACTGCTGGCCGTGGCTTGATCCCTGCTTTCTGGAGGGAGGTTTTAAGACATGTCCTTACTCTGACCCAGCAGTTGTATACATGGAGAAATGTACCTTGTAGCCATTCTCAAAACAAGCATGTAAAGATATGTGTAGGTAGGTGTGTGTTGTGGCATTGTTTGTAGTAGTGAAAAATTAGAGACGAGCCAATGCTGTAACCAGCAATCTGATCAATTATGTTCTCTCTGCGTGTTGGGATGTCCCGTAGCTCCTAAAGAATGAGGTGTGGGTGTGTACTGATGTGGCCAGACATTGCAAATGCAGCACATGAGAAAGCAAGTCACACAATAGTGTGTACACCAGTGGAGCCTCCAGCTAGATCATCAGTGACCACTCGCCCAAGCACCCGTGCTCCCTGCCCTGGGTGTGGTTGCTGTCTGAAGTACCTGGGGGAGGGGTGACAAGTGGACTGCAGGCTGATGTGGGCCCTGGCCTGGCCGTCCCTCCAAGCAGAGGGGGCTGTCTGGCCGGCAGGGTTAACATCAGCCTACTCTGTCTATGTGTGGCTTGTTTTTTCCTAGAGTTGCTGCCACGGTAGCAGCATCCTTGCCTTTCATTTTCTCCCAAGTGAGTAACCCATCCCTGCCCCTCTGATTCCTCAGCATGAGTCAAGACACTGAAGTTAGAAGTCGGGTCGTGGGGGGAAGTCTTCGAGGTGCCCAGGCTGCCTTTCCAGCCAAAGGAGAGCCGTCACCACCCGAGAAGGAGGAGGACCATGCTCTGACTCACTGGAAGCCCTTCCTGGTCAACATGTGCATGGCTACGGTCCTCACGGCCGGCGCGTACCTGTGCTACAGGGTATGTTTCCACTGACAGACGCGCTGGCAAGGTGCGCGTGTGCAGAGAGCACTGGCCGCTAGCCCGATGGTAGGATTCAGTTCTGTGGCGCATCTGAGCCAGTCTCAGAAGAAACAGAGCAAAGGTTTTAAAAGTCTGGAACTGTGGAAGGGCTAACAAGAGAATTAAGGATCGATGCACTGGGTTTTAAGGAGCCCTCTGGTCCCAAGAATATAAGAGTCTAATCTCAGGGCCTTAACCTATTCAGGAGTAAGTAGAGAAAATGCCAAATATGTCTGTTTCTCTCTCTCTCTCTCTCTTTTTTTTTTTTTTTTTTTTTTTTTTTTTTTTTTGAAAAAAAAATAGAGTTACAACACATTGTTGTTTTTAACCTTTATAAAAAGCAGCTTTTTGTTATTTCTGGGGGAAAAAAAAAAGTTCTAGGCACTTATGAAACTTTCTCATACCCTTAGGTGATATAATCAGCTATATAATTTATATTTGATTTCCCAGGGAAGGAATCCCAAACTTTTATGAATGTAAACTCCCTTGGAGAAGAGGGTTAGGACGCTATTGCGCTCAGGCCCCTCAGCTGTGTGCACACTGAGCCAGGACAGGGGCTTCGAGCTTTCCCACAGTAGGAAGAACAGCAGCAAAAGGCCATCTAGAAAACAAAACCTGCCTCTGCTTCTGCTCAGGGTGTCCCTGCTGGGTTTCCATTGTCCTTTCTCCATTGCTCCCTCCTGTGGCAGCCATGTTGCTCATGTACCAGCCCTCATCACCCCATCCCCATAAATGGGTTTCCGCCAGGCCTCTGCCTTGGGGTCAGGGTGGCCATCGGCTTGTCAACCCGCTGTTGATTCAGAGAAGCGGGCTCCACCTCATTGGGAGAAGTGCCATTTCAGCAGAAATCTTCACGGTAGACGTGTGTTGCTGTTAAGTAAGGGGAAGAGAGGACTAGCCTCCGAGCTCTGGCCACGGAAATGACCTCAGACTGTTACATCATTTTAAATATTTTACCTCTTTCCAGGTGGCCGAGTACATCAGATGGTTTTGCAAAATGCAAACAATTTTTTCCTTGGGGGTAATTTTTGGGGAGAGGGGGCTACTGTAAAAAGAAAAACCAAAACCCCTTTTGCTCCCTCAGAGGTTGGAGTTGCTGGGGGGTGTGGCTGGGGTCATGCATGAGGCGACAGCTCTGCAGGTGCGGGTCTGGGCTCATCTGAACTGTTTGGTTTCATTCCAGTTCCTGTTCAACAGCAACACATAGCCTGACCCTCCTCCACTCCACCTCCACCCACTGTCCGCCTCTGCCTGCAGAGCCCACGCCCGACTAGCAGGCATGCCGCGGTAGGTAAGGGCCGCCGGACCGCGTAGAGAGCCGGGCCCCTGACGGACGTTGGTTCTGCACTAAAACCCATCTTCCCTGAATGTGTGTCTCACCCCTCATCCTTTTACTTTTTTCCCTTCCCCTTCGAGTACCAAATCCACAAGCCATTTTTTGAGGAGAGCGAAGGAGAGGACCCTGCTGGTGGCGCAGAGGGAAGGGGCCTGCACCCGTCCCAGGGGCCCCCCCCTCAGGGCTCCTACCTGGAGCAGCCCAGCGGGTGGCACACCAACAGCCCCCCTCGAATCTGCAGGGAGCAACTCTCCACTCCATATTTATTTAAACAACTTTCCCCTAAAGGCGTCCATAGTGCACTAGCATTTTCTTGAACCAATAATGTATTAAAATTTTTTGATGTCAGCCTTGCATCAAGGGCTTTATCAAAAAGTACAATAATCAATCCTCAGGTAGTACTGGAATGGAAGACTTTGCCATGGGCCTGCTGCGTCAGACCAGTACTGGGAAGGAGGACGGTTGTAAGCAGTCGTTATTTAGTGATATTGTGGGTAACGTGAGAAGGTAGAACAATGCTATAATATATAATGAACACGTGGGTATTTAATAAGAAACATGATGTGAGATGACTTAGTCCCGCTTATCTGCTAGCTCTAGTTCTCGATCACCACTCCCCCAAGTGTATTAGAATGCATGTACGGTCTTCTTGTGCCCTGATGAAAATTATGTGCTTGAAATGAGAAACTTGGATCTCCGCTTACTCATGTGCCCATGTCCAAGTCTACCCTGCCTGTGCATGACCTGATCATTACATGGCTGTTGTTCCTAAGCCTGTTGCTGAAGTCATTGTCACTCAGCAATAGGGTACAGTTTTCCAGGAATAGGCATTTGCTGGATTCCTGGCATGACACTCTAGTGACTTCCTGGTGAGGCCCGGCCTGTCCTGGTACAGCAGGGTCTCGCTGTAACTCAGACATTCCAAGGGTATGGAAGCCATATTCACACCTCACACTCTGGACATGATTGAGGCAAGCAGGGGACCCCCCTCCCCCACATTTGGGATCAGCCTCCACTATTCCAAGTCAGCACTCTACTTGAGCAAACTGTGATTTGGAAGAGAGGCAACTGCTGGAAACCACACTTCTTAAACAGCCTGGGTGACGGTCCCTTAGGCAGCCTGCTGCCGTCTCTGCCTTGGTTCACCTTGCCGAGAGAGGCGTGTCTGCCCCACCTTCGAACTCTGTGGGGGGCCCGCTGGTGCTCACGACTCTTCCTGCAAAAGGAACTGAAGACCTCCACATTAAGTGGCTTTTTAACAAGAAAAACACGGCAGCTGTAGCTCCGGGGCTACTCCCTTGCCAGCATTTTCACATTTTGCCTTTCTCGTGGTAGAAGCCAGTACAGAGATTCTGTGATGGGAACATTCGAGGCGTCACCCCGCAGAGCTGTGGTGAGGTGTGGATAGGGTTTAGGTGCCAGGCTGTAAGCATTCTGAGCTGGGCTTGTTGTTTTTAAGTCCTGTATATGTATGTAGTAGTTTGGATGTGTATATATAGTAGCATTTCAAAATGGACGTACTGGTTAACCGCCTACCCTGGAGAGCGGCTGGGGCTCTCCAGCCTGTTCCCCGGATGTTGGAGAGGTAGCGAGCTGCTCTGCTATATGCCTTAAGCTGATATTTACTCATCAGGTCATTATTTTTTACAATGGCCGTGGAATAAACCATTTTTACAAAAATAAAAACAAAAAAAAAAGCGAGGTGTTTTGGTATAATACCTTTTCAGGTGTGTGTGGATACGTGGCTGCATGACCGGGTGGGCGGGGGGCATGTCTCAGGGTCTTCTGTGACCTCACAGAACTGTCAGACTGTACAGTTTTCCAACTTGCCATATTCATGATGGGTTTGCCTTTTAGCTGCAACAATAAAAATTTTTTCTAAAGAACATGAATTTGGGGTGCTTCCCATTTTCTTTGCTTAATAGACCTAAGCCTGGATGAGCGACTCCTGTTTCTTTCCATCCCTGCTGATGTGAAACAGATGTCAGTCAGCTGGGGTTAGAGTTTTCCACTTCCCAGAATTAACTTCAGCATCCTGGCGTGGACAGCGCCCTCAGGCTGCAATGCTTTCCTGACTGGGAGCTTATTGACCACCGTAGGCTTCAGCGCATTTCCTTCCCAAAACCCACACTTGGCATGCATAGGCCCTCAGATAATTTCACAAAGTTATCAGTGGTGTTTGAAGAACAGTGTTTTAAGTTGTAATCTCAAAACTGTGTCCATTACCCAATTGCCTATAAGAGACAATGGTTACCGCATCTCAGTACATAAAGTCTATTTGATACAGAATTGACTTAGAAATAAGATAGTCTTTCATTTGTGTACAAAATTAAACGGTGTAAATTCCCCGGAAACTTATTTTGACTTTTTGTTTTGAAGTAATACTGTATTTGCAAAATGTTGCAAAAACAGTACAAAGAGTTCCCCTGTACCCTCCAAGGTTCCTCAGCTGTTTCAAAGCTGACTGCAGGCCCAGGCTCCTGAGACCAGCAACAGGACAGGCTATGGTCATGTGGCCCCACAGGGTCCTGGGGCTGCAGATGTCAGTGTGGCCCCCACCGTTTCAGGTATGAAAAAGGTCATCTAAGCTTTCAAGAAGAGGGAGGTTGCCCCAGGGCCACGGTCCCCAACCTTTTTGGCACCAGGGACCGGCTCCATGGAAGAGTTTTTCCACAGACCTGGGGGTGGTGGGGGATGGTTTTGGGATCCACCTCAGGTCATCAGATTCTCATAAGGAGCACAAAACCTAGATCTCACAGTTCACAATAGGGTTTGCACTCTTAGGAGAACCTAATGCTGCAACTGATCTAACGGGAGGTGGAGGTCAGGCGGTAATGCCCGCTCACCGCTCACCTCCTGCCCTGCAGCCCAGTTCCTAACAGGCCTTGGGCCAGTACCAGGTGTGTGGACTGGGGGTTGGGGACCTCTACTCTAGGCTAGTACTGCTGCTTAAAAAAAGAGGAGGGGGACTGACAAATCAGGTGGGGCACAGGCCATGCTGCAGAATGCCCGTATGGGGTGAGCATGCCTGGAGCCTTCACCAGCATGCGGAGGAGCCCAGAGACGGTGTTTACCAGAACCGCTGCCTGAGGCCCCTCCTTCAAGTGTCCTCACAGCGCCCCACGAGACCACAGGAGTGACCCCCTCATTGGCAGGGATTTGAGGAAACAACCGCTGTCTACTCTTTTGGGTAAAAAGTAAAACACCAATTAAAATAGTTTAATTGAAATTCCAGAGAACTGAACATATGAACAAGGTTTTCTAAAAGTTAAACCAAAAAAGCACAAAATATATACAGGAAGTTTGGATGGGAAAGTTCTCTGATGCCGTGGTTACAGCACCCTCAAAGCCTAGGTTCTGTCTACATTAACAGACTCTCAGGATGTGGTTTGCTTTTTTCTAATAGACTTAAATAGGAAACTCATTTTCTTTCTATAAAGCAACGTGTTCTTCAGCGAACTCTTTCTTCAGGGCAGCTGATGGCTTCTGGAGCAGTTTATTGACGAGGCCCTCAATTGCCTCTGAAGCTGGATTGCATTTGGGTAGCGAGCGGCTCTACTCCCCGTGCTGCTCAGGGCTCCTGGGCTGATGCGGCTTCTTCCCTTTGTGTCGCTGAGCATAGGGAGGGTGAGGTTCACAGTCCAGCAGCCGCTGTCCGTGGGCTCCATGGCACGCCAGCTGCAGGTCAAGCGGAGAGTGTAGCTGTAGAAACCCTGGCTTTGTGCCTTCCCACCTTCCCCAGCTCACCGGGGTGCCAGCTGGCTGCTGCTGAAATGACTTGAGCAGCCTTCTCCATCCCAGTGTCTGTTGACCCAGAAGTGCTGAGTGGCTGACCGGCAGGGAGGCCTGGAGTTCCGTACCCTCATCATGGAGCCTTTTATTCAGGGCCTCACTTTACCTGGCCTTGGCCCTCTTGTAGGTGGCCGCCAAGTGCGGCTCGGCTCTGCATCTCAGGGAAAGTCAGACAGACCCTCAGCCAGAAGTTGGGGGCGACGTTGAGGACATGCAGCCCTTGGAACGCTGAACGTGGCCTTGCGTTTTTCTGTCCTGTCCAAAAGACCAGCCCATGCCCTGGGTCAGTGGCTGGAGCCTCAGGCAGAGCTCTGGGCAGTTCACACTCCTAGAGGAGCAGACGGCACCATTACCCAGAGCTCAGGCTTTACATGCAGGCCAAGCAGCAGCAAAAAAAGCCGAGGCGAGACTTGCTCATCAGCCAGGATATTTTAAAATACTGTGATTTCAACATCTGCCTCCTGGCCAAAGACTTCTCTTTGTTCTGAGCAGAGTTTGTCCATCCTCTCAAAAGCTAACCGTCCTTTTTCACCTGAAATAGCAAAGGCCTCTGTCACCAGGTTGGCTCCTGCCGCCCTGGCGTTTCCTACTCTCCTGGGCCAAGGTGGCCTTGGTGCTTAGTGACTATGGGTCTCGGTGGTCTCTGCAAAGCAGTGGGGGAGGGCGTATGTGCAGGAGCCCCCACCTGGTGACTCCTGCTGCCCAGGGGCCTTGCCTTTACCTCTAGGATGTTCTACCCCTGCCCTGGTTCTGGCCTCTGTCCCAAAGATCGTAAAGTCTGAGAAGACAGCAGACACTCCCTGCCACCCCAGCCACGAACGAGGCCTGTCCTGGCAGAATGCTGCAAAGGGTAGAGGTCAGCTCTGCACCAGGGCTGCTAACGCTGCCTATCCGGGGTGCTCCAGAGCTGTTCTGCCAGCCAGGAGAGCTGGGTGTGGCCTCGCACAGATTCTAAGGGCCCCAGGAACCCCGCTGCGCTGCAGGGGATGTGCTACTTTACCAAATGACAGTGTGGTTTCCCGGGCTGCCGTCCGCACGGCTTCCAGGTCAGACTGGCACAGGCTGGCAATCTGGTCGATGCTTTCAACGCCCTGTTTGAGGTTAGGGGAGAGGGTCCTTTAGGGCGTGTTCTCAACAGTGGTAGAGTCCACTTAGCGGCCCTGCAGGGCCAGCCCTAGCGTGGTCTCTGGGGCCTCAACCCCTTTTCTGCAGGCTTCCAGGTTTCCTAGGTGGCCTCAGGCTCATAAGAGGTACCTCTGGACTCGAAGCGCCTCGCCTCTTCAGCCCTGACACCTGCTAGGGAGCCAGGCTGTTAGCAGAGTTTGTCTTCCTGGATGCCTGCTGAAAAGGAGGTGGCCTGCTGCCTTCTGGACCTTCCTACCTCCCCCACGCTCTCCTTACCCTCCTCTCTCCAGGGCAGCCTGTGCCAGGACGTCGCTGACTCAGGCACATACCCGGGGCTGCTCCTGCAGGCCCAGGACTGGCATGTGCCGCAGCGCCCTCTGCTGGACACCCGGCCCTTGCTGGTTTTCTGATCCTAGCCAGCTTCTCTTGGAATTTCCTGTTGATTCATCCCAGAACGAATGGGACGAGTGAGTTTAATCTGTATTGAACTGTCTTTCGTCTAGCAACTGGCAATTCCAAATGCAGGTGAGGCTGAGGGAAAGCGGAAATCCCCTCACATCCATGGGATTTATGTGTGGGTTTTATCAAGAGTCTCAAAAATGCTCATCTCTGGCTCTAGGATTGGGTCTAGCCTGAGGAAATAATTCAGAACTCCATGGCTTTTTAAAGCTTTATGCACGAACATGATCATAATGACATTATTTAGGATTAAAAAACTATTTCCTATGAGAGTGGGTAAGTAAGTTAAATTAAGGTATATACTTGATAGCCCCTTCATGAAGTATTCTAAAGTGGAAAAAGAAAAGACATAAAAGAAGTCAGGTGTGGTGGCTCACACCTCCCAGCACTTTGGGAGACCGAGGCAGGCGGATCACAAGGTCAGGAGATCGAGATCATCCTGGCCAACATGGTGAAACCCTGCCTCTTCTAAAAATACAAAAATTAGCTGGGGGTGGCGGTGTGTGTCTGTAATCGCAGCTACTCAGGAGGCTGAGGCAGGAGAATTGCCTGAACCCGGGAGGCGGAGGTTGCGGTGAGCCGAGATCGCGCCATTGCACTCCAGCCTGGGTAACAAGAGCAAAACTCCGTCTCAAAAAAAAAAAAAAACATGTAATTCAGGAGCTCAGAAAGTGAATTCCTGGGGCCGCCTGCGTATTCACCCAGAGCCACAGCAAATGCCCACTAAGTATTGCTGTCATAGAGTTTCTGGTAGTGGAGCTGACAGCTCCTCTAGAACTGCTTATTTAGGTGTTTTGTTTGGAAACAGGGTCTTACTCTGTCACCCAGGCTAGAGTGCAGTGGTGTGATCTTAGCCTCTGCCTCCTGGGTTCAAGTATCGAGTAGCTGGGACTACAGGCATGTGCCACCATGCCTAGTTTTTGTGGGGTTTTGTATGATTAGTAGAAAGAGGGTTTCCCCATTTTGGCCAGGCTGGTCTCGAACTCCTGACTTCAGGTGATCCACCTGCCTCAGCCTCCCAAAGTGCTGGGATTATAGGTGTGAGCCACTGCCCCTGGCCCTTTAAAAGATTTTTAACAGAATTTTTTAAAACATGTAATTCAGGGCCGGGCGTAGTGGCTCACGCCTGTAATCCCAGCACTTTGGGAGGCCGAGGCGGGTGGATCACGAGGTCAAGAGATCGAGACCATCCTGGTCAACATGGTGAAACCCCGTCTCTACTAAAAATACAAAAATTCAGCTGGGCATGGTGGTGCATGCCTGTAATCCCAGCTACTCAGGAGGCTGAGGCAGGAGAATTGCCTGAACCCAGGAGGCGGAGGTTGCGGTGAGCCGAGATCGCGCCATTGCACTCCAGCCTGGGTAACAAGAGCAAAACTCCGTCTCAAAAAAAAAAAAAACATGTAATTCAGGAGCTCAGAAAGTGAATTCCTGGGGCCGCCTGCGTATTCACCCAGAGCCACAGCAAATGCCCACTAAGTATTGCTGTCATAGAGTTTCTGGTAGTGGAGCTGACAGCTCCTCTAGAACTGCTTATTTAGGTGTTTTGTTTGGAAACAGGGTCTTACTCTGTCACCCAGGCTAGAGTGCAGTGGTGTGATCTTAGCCTCTGCCTCCTGGGTTCAAGTATCGAGTAGCTGGGACTACAGGCATGTGCCACCATGCCTAGTTTTTGTGGGGTTTTGTATGATTAGTAGAAAGAGGGTTTCCCCATTTTGGCCAGGCTGGTCTCGAACTCCTGACTTCAGGTGATCCACCTGCCTCAGCCTCCCAAAGTGCTTGGATTACAGGCGTGAGCCATCACGCCCAGCTCCAGTGGAATCATTTTGAAGTTAACTAACCCTAACCACCAGCAGGCTTCCCTGTCAGCCACTAGTGGGGAAACATCAGGCTCACCTTGAGCTGTTTGAGCGCCAGGCACGCAGCCTGCTGCAGCCTTGCGTCGTCCTCTGCCAGGGCATTGGTGTAGAAGAGCAGAGCCTGGGGAGAGGAGGAGGCTGTGAATGGAGGGGCGAGCAGAAGCAGAGTCCATGGTTCCAGGGTCCGTCAGCCACCGGGTGCCGACAGTAAGGCATGCAGTGGCCGCTCTTCTCTAAACAACATTCAGGTCATGATCTCTCCATCTTTGGGCCAGGTGTCCACAGTCACAAGATCTGTACTGTGGGGTTTATCCCTAAAAACTGGTCCCAGGGCTACTACAGTGAAGAAAGCTCTTTTTGTCTAATATTCTAGAAGTACATTCTGAAACTGCTGTCTGTAAAATGCTGAATCAGAGAAAGCAGATGCCCAGCTCAGACCAACAGAAGAGCTGATGATACCGAGGGCATTGCCCTCCTCAGCTGAAAAGGGGCAAGGCTGCTGCCCCGAGCCAGAGGAAAACATGCCTATTCTCCTCAGCCCCCTTTCCAGTCACAGCGGTGACCCTGCCTTCTTCAGTCCCGTGACCATGGCCACCTCAGTTCATCTCTTTGGGCCTAACTTGACTGCACTGAAAACAAAGTTGGCACTTGCTTCATGCACTGCTGTAGAGTTTGTCAGGAAGCACATGAGTTCATGCCCCGCCCACAGCAGAGTCCAGCTTCTGCGGCTGCGCCTTCAACTGCATGAGTGGGGCCAAGGAGGGCCCAGGTGCAGAGCCAAATGAGAATGGCCACCTTTCCCTCTGCAGGTGGCTCTCTGAAGTGTCTGCTGCTTTGGGAAGACAGGGAGACTGAGTAGGATCGGGGCCCTCCTGCTCCTTCCTACATGGCATTGGTGAGGAGGACTGTCAGGACACATCAGTATGGAAGGCAGCCCTCTCCCTCCTCAGTACCCCCATCTGGGGCCAAGCAATCTGTCACTGGGGTGACTCTGGCTCCCGCCTCAGTGTTTCCTGCTCTCTAAAGTTTGTCACATGAAGATGAAGGTTTTTGGGTGGTTGTTGTTGTTGGATACAGAGTCTCACTTTGTCACCCAGACTGAGGTGCAGTAGCACGATCTCAGCTCACTGCAACCTCTGCTTCCCAGGTTCAAGCAGTTCTCATGCCTCAGCCTCCAAGCTGGGAATACTGCCCACTGGCATGCACTGCCACTCTTGGCTAATTTTTTTGTACTTTTGGTAGAGACGGGGTTTCACCATGTTGGCTAGGCTGGTGTCAAACTCCTGACCTCAGGTGATCCACCTGCCTCAGCCTCCCAAAGTGCCAGGATTACAGGTGTGAGCCACTGCACCCAGCCATGGAGGCCTTGTTTACAGTATGAAAAGATACCCACATACCTCTAAACCACCCCCCTAAGAAAATACACCTGACTTCAGTGGATCCTTGAAGCCCAACTACTAGCTTTCAGGAACTACAGAAGACAGATAAATGCATTAGACTACATCCCACAAGCAGCAAAGTCTAGCTATTCCAGAACAACCTGGGATCGTCAAGAAATTAACTGCAAGCAGAGAAAGAAATGGAGAAGGAACCTTGAGATTAAATGGAAATTAAAAGCCATCAGCTATTCACAATGCATGTCCTTATGTAGATTCTAGTTTAACAAAAATAAAACAGGATACTTGAGGCTTGGGAATTTAGAAGTATGATATAAAGGAATTCATGGTGAATTTTTTAGATATGATAATGGTATTATAGTTCTGATTTTTGAAGGATTTTTTTTTTTTTGGAGGCAGAGTCTCGCTCTGTCACCCAGGCTGGAGTGCAGTGGTGTAATCTCTGCTCACTGCAACCTCTGCCTCCCAGGTTCAAGTAATTCTCTGCCTCAGCCTCCCAAGTATCTGGGACTACATGCGCCCACCACCACGCCTGGCTAGTTTTTTGTGTTTTTCATAGAGACGGGGTTTCACCATCTTGGCCAGGCTGGTCTTGAACTCCTGACATTGATCCACCCACTTCGGCCTCCCAAAGTGCTAGGATTACAGGTGTGAGCCACCGCACCCGGCCGAAAGAATTCTTAACCTGTTGACACATATAGTTAATTATTTAAAGTCAAATATGATACTTCAGAATGTTTCATAGTGATAGAGGGGAGTGAAGGAAGAAGGGGCAGGATTGGCTGTGGGTTGATGGTGGTTAGGCTTGGGTGATGAGGGCAGATGGATTCATTGTATTGCTGTGTCTACTTTCGCATGTTCAAAAGACTACAAATAAAGAGGTAAAAAAACAACTCCAAAATGTCCGGGCGCAGTGGCTCACACCTGTAATCCCAGCACTTTGGGAGGCCGACGCAGGTGGATCACAGGTCAGGAGTTCAAAACCAGCCTGGCCAATATGGTGAAACTCCATCTCTACTAAAAATACAAAAAAATTAGCCGGGTGTGGTGGTGGGTGCCTGTGTAATCCCAGCTGCTCCGGAGGCTGAGGCAGAGGCAGAGAATTGCATGAACCCAGGAGGCAGAGGTTCCAGTGAGCCGAGATTGCACCCCTGGACTCCAGCCTGGGCGACAGAGCAAGACTCCGTCTCAAAAAAAAAAAAAAAAAGACCGCAAAGTAGGCATATGGGCTCCAAGGAGGACTGCTGGCAACAGAACTGGAGATTTCCTCTCCAGTTGAGCTGAGACCAGCACTGTTGGCTATGCCCTTGATGTCACCCTTCCTGCACCCCTCAGGGTGTGGCACCTTAACCGTACAGTAGTCACAGGCCAAGAGTGAAAGGCAGAGGGGTCCATTCTCTTGTTTTTCAAATGGACTGAACACAATGATCCATTACCAGGTAGCCTCGAATATTAGTTGGAAGTAAAAGACGACTATCAAAACACTAAGAACAACATTCAATGTACAAGTGACGCTCAGAGGCCTAACAGTGTGTTGCTTTGGAAGCAGGAAGGGGGTAGGCTTAGGTGCATTCATGTGTGTGACTCAGGTGGCAGCCCAGGTCCCTCCAAAATAGCTCACAGCCAATGCCACTGTAGCCCCTGGCACGCGCTGCTTTGGACTTTTCCATGAGAACACCTGCTTATCTGTGCTCACACATCTGCAGCTAGGGCCTGCCACCTGCCCTGGACAACGTACCTTTTCCCGGAAGCTTCTGTTCCTGACTGCACCCGCCAGGCGAGCACTGGCCGCCCTGCACACCCTCGGAGTGCCATCCAGCTGGAGCAGCGCCCAGGCTGTTAAGGTCTGGGGCAGGGGCTGGAGCTGGCCCAGCCGCTTCCCCTGCAGCTTCCGGACCGCCTTGGCCTGCCCCGTGCAGTGGAGCTCCTCGATGAGTGTCACTAGAAGACAGGAAAGAGGTGGCCCGGGGCCTGAGCGGGAGTGCAGTAGGACAGCTGCAAATCTGCTTGGCTGCTGCCATGAGCCACAGAGGAACAAATCCCAGAGCCAGCAGGATGGGCACCAAGGCCAGGGCTGGACTAGTTTCACAGGGAGCTCCTGGATCTCTAGGAATGCCTTTTAACAAAGGATCAATACTCTCCGAAAATTAATAAAACCACAGCCCATGCTTCCAGGCACTCTGGCAAGCCGAGATCACCCTCCTACCCAGCTCTGACCTCTGTTCCATATTTTTTAAAGCTGACTTCCCTTGGCGCTAATATCACCCCCATCAGCTGAATGCAGAATCTCATTAAATCAGGGTTCCCGAAGGAACAACTGGCAGGGACATGTCGTGGTCCTGTCCCTGAATTGTAACCCGAGAAGCTGTCTGCATGTGACAGGGCTCCGTGGATATTCCTCTGCTCTGACAGCCACCTACCCCAGCCTTACCTTCCTTGGTGAGCTGGGTGAAATGCTTCTCCAGGTCAGAGACGCTCTGCCTCTGCAGGTAGCTGTGAAACTGGAACCAGGTGATGGTCTGGTCTTCAGGGAGCCCAGCTCCAGGGAGCAGCCCACCACAGCTGACCACCTGTTCCAGGAGCCTGCGACACACTGGCCAAAGGAGAGAGCACATCAGGAGAAACTGAGACCTCAGTCCTCCACGCTTCTCAGCTGGGAGTAACCTGGTCGGCTAAACGGTTTTCTGGGCCTGGCACAGTGGCTCACACCTGTAATCCCAGCACTTTGGGAGGCCAAGGCAGGTGGGGTCAGCTGAGGTCAGGAGTTTGAGACCAGACTGACCAACATGGAGAAACCCCGTCTCTACTAAAAATACAAAATTAGCCGGGCATGCTGGTGCACACCTGTAGTCCCAGCTACTTGGGAGGCTGAGGCAGGAGAATCGCTTGAACCCGGGAGGTGGAGGTTGCAGTGAGCCAAGATTGCGCCATTGCACTTCAGCCTGGGCAACAGGAGTGAAACTCCATCTCAAAAAAATAAAAGGCTTTCTGATGGCACGAGGGCAGGTGTCGCTTACTGAGCTCCCTGTGTCGTGGGAGAGGAGTGTGCCCAGCTGGAGTCAGGACTGTGACTCCGATGCACTGAGTCAGACCGTCTTGGATTCATCCTTGTGCCCAGGCCCCACCGCACCTGAATCTAAATCCTGGAGGCAGGGCCTGGGAATAGGCATGCCAACAGGCAGCCCAGGTGACACGTGGAACATGACTGTCACCTTTCACATGCTCCACAGAGAAGAGCAGTGGGGCTCTGCATTCTGGGGAAGAACGCAGTGCAGCCAACATTTCTAGATGCCCTCGTGGGCCCCTGCCTGCCTCCTTTCCCATAAGGTTCATTCTTCCTGTAAGGCTCTGGTGGGAGGCATGGAATCTGTCCCCAGAAAAATGCACCGGCCTACCAAGGTTTGCACGCAGCCTCAGAGCTCCACACACTGTTCAGAAGGTCCCAGGTGGAGGCTCATTTCTCGCTCAGTGAAAGGACGGAGACTTCCACTCAAGCTGAAAAACCTCCTCCATTCGATGTCATGAAGACACAGAGGTGAAGACAGGCTGAAATGAGCCAGCTGAGGCCACCCTGAAGGCCCTGGAGAGTCGTGATAGCCCTTCTGTGGGAGGCGATGGACAACACAGGCGGGAACCCACCTATTTCCAGCTGGCCCGGGTATTTCCCTCTGACTCTGTGCAGGAACATTTTCTTGAGCTGGTTCAGCAGCGTCGTGGCAGGGCAGGACAGGACCCGACCAGGCCCCGTGCACGCCCTCCACAGCTTCAGGCACCCCTTCCTCCGCGACACCTGTGGAATGACTGAAAGCCCCAGTTCAGAAACCTGAGTGGCAGGTTGGGGAGAGCACGTGACAAGGACCCCAAAGGAGTTTCCCTCCACTGGGACCTAAGAGGGCAGGGAGGAGAGGGTGGTGTGGGCTTGACGCAGGGTCCCTTCTCCGAACTGGCTCTAAACATCTACACAGGGCCACCACCTGCAGTCCCCACAACAACCTGGAGAGGCTGCTGTCACCAGCCTCTCTCTACAAAGAACCTGGCCTCCTATGAGCAGACATCCCAGGGGGCAGAGGTGCAGCTGGGATCAGCTACTCTGAGTGTGCATTCTGTACCTTGAATATGGCCTGGGGTTACCTCAGTGAACCCTGTGCAGTGCCCTCCCCTTAGATAGATAGGGAAATGGAGGCACAGAGAGGTGAATCATTGGCGTACAATCACACAGCTGGCTGGAGTGTATCCTGCAACTCCAAGACGCCTCTCCCACCTCCCCGCAAAGCCTGTGTCTCTCCCAGCCCAGCCAGCCACAGCCTCCACACTGGGCTCCGGTTAACTTTGTCTATCAGGAACGGAGAAGAGGCTCCCCGAGCTTTGACCCCGTGCCCGTGCTATTCACACAGACAGCCCTTGGGTGGTAGGCAGCTCCTTACTCTCTTCGATGGATGTTGCCTTGCCGACCTTCTCAAAGTCAAGGACAGAAAGTGTCTCCAGAACGTGCTTTTGTTGTGCCACTTCTTCCAGGAGGCATTCCTGGACCAGCCTTGATAAAGCAGGGGAGGCCAGTTTCTGGGAAGCAGCCCACGATGTTCCAGGTTAGCATGGAGCATGCCCACTGAGGTCAGCTGTTAGGGCTGTGGCTCCCAGCTGTTTGTGCCCATCCCTTCTGTTCCAGGGGCAGCTCCCTGACTGTCATCTGGGGAGTCCCCTTTCACCAAGGTAGCTGAGCTGATGGGATACAGGCTGAGCTGCCAGGGACCACCTTTGCCCCCAGAAGAAGAACCAACCTGCCTGAAAGTGAAGCCAACCCACATTGCAAAGCAAAACAGAGAGAGTGAGAGATATAGTCCTGATAGCATTTGAACCCCTGGATCCAGCCAGGCCTGAAGCCTACATCTGAGCCTTTCAATACCATGAGCCAATACATTTTCCTCTTGGTTGAGCCAGTTTGCATTAGGGTTCTGGCATCTATAAATGAAAGAGCTACCACCACAGTCTCTGGTTCAAGGCTTGGGCTGTGTAAGAGCCACGTGAGCATTCACACAGACCTGGTCTGCATCTTCCACTGGGTAACAGCCTGTCTCAGTAGCTCCCAGGAGGCTGGTCTGTCATCCCTTACCATGCATCCCACCACCTTCAAGATGAGCCCTTTGCAAAGAGACTCCCAACCCCTGTCTGCCCCTCCCTGACAAGTCCCCCAGCCCAGCCACCTGCAGCAGAGCTTTGCAGACTTGGAGGTGTATCGTCAGCAGCACGTCCAGCTCTGGGGCACCGGCTGTGAGTTCCCTGGATGTTTTCAGTGATGGTGGTGGGGGCAGAGGCTGGTCCTTTCTGAGTTGAATTGAGAACTAGGTGATCATCCCAGGTAGCAGATCAATTCCCTCTGAGGGTGGGGGGAACCCTCCCTCGCCCGAGCACTCTGGGTCAGGGAGGCCCATCCAGGTCCCAGGGAGTTCCGCCGAGGGGAAAACTAGGAGGATGGAGAAAGGAGCAGAGGGCGGCAGCAACTCAAAATAGAGCTGGGGGTGTGGCCCAGGGCCTGGGGAAGGCAGGGCGGGCAGTCGTCTTCCAGGATGCCTCGTGGAGGTAGAAGACCATTCCAACTAATCCCAGCTCTGTGACAAGTCTGCCTCCCCAAGGCTCAGTTGACTCGTCTGTCAAGGGGGACAGGAACCCCACAATCAAGGCCGTGAGGGGTGTGTGAGATACAGTGGCAAGAGCTGCTTGCACCAAGCCCGCTCCATGGTAAGAGGCTGGACCTGTGGCCCGATCCCCTCACAGCCACTCAGGAAGGGCAGAAGCAAGTGTCAGCACAAAACACCACGCCCGCCCCATGGAGAGGTGAGAAGGAATTCAGCCTCTGCTGTTCTGCGTGAGGAGATGTGGATGCAGAAGCCCTCAGTGGCTGGGGGGGGGTGCTGCATGGCCTCTAGGGAAGCTGTCACGGGAGGTGTGGGCCCTGCGCTGGGACAGAGGGAACAGAGCAGTGGGTGCTGCTGCATCTTGGGCAGAGGGCAAAGAACTTTTGTTGTTTTGAGGCAGAGTCTCACTGTCACCCAGGCTGGAATGCAGTGATGTGATCTCGGCTCACTGCAACCTCTACCTCCCGGGTTCAAGCGATTCTCCTGCCTCAGCCTCCCGAGTAGCTGGGATTACAGGCACGCGCCACTATGCCCAGCTAATTTTTTGGTATTTTTAGTAGAGATGGAGTTTTGCCATGTTGGCCAGGCTGGTCTTGAACTCCTGACCTCAGGTGATCCGCCCGCCCCGACTTCGCAAAGTGCTGGGATTATAGGCATGAGCCACCATGCCCAGCCTCAAAGTACTTCTACCATATACTCGGTGGTTATTTTTTAAGGTTTAAAAATAATAGTAAAAGCTGATTCCTTGGAGCAGAAGGCTCAGGGCCAGGCTGGGGTGATCTCACCCACTTCGTGGTCACTGAGGACGAGCTCTGAGCCCTGCGGGGGCTGTGCGGGGATGGCAGGGAGCATGACAGAGTGACAGCGCTGAGCCGAGGACAGTGGAAGAAACAGAGCAGGAGGCCTGCAGGAAGCGTGGTGCTCAGGTCACCCAGAGGGAGTGCTGGCCACTGGGTCACTGCTGGAAGGAGCTGCACTCACCGGGGACCCTGGGAGCCCCCAAACAGGGACAGCTCATCCGGAGTGAAGTCGGCATTGAGGAAGGCAAAGCTCTCCAGGATGTACTCCATCAGGCTCTCGGCTGAGGCGTGCTCCTGCCTCGCTCTGCAGGGCTGTGGACAGAGTGGCCAGACCTGAGGGCAGTGCCGGGCCCCCCCCACCCAACTGGGGCACTGGCCAGGAGCCTCACTGCAGACCTGGGCAGTGTCCTGGTCCTGAGCCCCAATCCCACCCGCCGTCCCCCAGCACAAGCCCAGCTGCTGGCCCAAGGCATGGCACCAGACGTGGTATTCCCCACGGTCCCTCCTGAATGGCCTGTGACAAGGTAGGAGCAGAATCTGGAGGGAGACAGATCTGAAAATCCTCCCTGTATCGCACACATCCACAGGGACAGGGCCAACGGCAGGAGTGAGCGAGCGGCCCCAGCAGGGACCATGGCGGGGAGGGGGGAGGGGCTGCAGGTGCCTCCCCTAGGTGGGGGCCGTGCTCATTCCAGGGGCTCCTGCCACTTAGAAATGGGGGGCCTTGGGGACAGCTTGCCCAGTGTTCTAATAAAACCCTAAAATATGGATTTTTATGGGAAACTGCCCGGTTTTGAAATATCAACAAATTCCAAAGTATTTTAAATACATGGTGTAGGTCAGGCAAATGCCTCTTCACGAGATTCAAAAGCTGCCAGATCGGCCTCTGGGTTCCAGGCTTCTCCTCCCTGTTGGGTTTCTCTCTCCAACAGATGAAGGGAGTGCGTTGGAGCCCCCGCCCCGCCACTGCTCAAGTCACCAGAGCCTCCAGTGGCAACTCTCTCCCTGGAGATTTCTGTCCTGTCCCCAACTCATGGCTGACTCCAGCGCCAGTTCCTACCCCTGTTCGCCGCGCACCCACCCAGGCCTTGTCCACCACAAACCACAGCCAAGACGCGGGCCCCAAGGCAAAACCAGGACCCTAAGCGCTGGGCCCAAAGAGAACATCTCGAGGACCAGGGGAATAACAAGGCTAGCTGCAGAGATCACATTTTCTGATACAAAAATATATGCGTACATATGTGTGTATGTGTGTGTCAATACACACATGCATACAGGCGGCTGATTCTCAATATTTAAGGTAGTTATGTTCCAGAGGCCAAGGCGGTGGATCACTTGTGGTCAGGAGTTCAAGACCAGCCTGGCCAACGTGATGAAACCCCATCTCTACTAAAAATAAAAACAGCTGGGTGTGGTGGTACAGGCCTGTAGTCCCAGCTACTCAGGGGACTGAGGCAGGAGAATCGCTTGAACCCAGAAGGCAGAGGTTACAGTGAGCCGAGATCGCACCACTGCACTCCAGCCTGGGTGACAGAGCGATAATCCATCTCAAAAAGAAAAAAAAGTGGGGGAGAGA